TGGAAACACCAATCTACTTCAAGAAGAAGATGGGCATCGAAGAGGATCCTTATGGAGCCATTTGGGCAAGAAACTGCTCTTGCCTGGACTATAGCATAAACTGGACACAGAGAACCCTCAGAGAGAGGGCTGCTGAACTTGCCTAAGGGTGAGATGATCTTTCGAGGTTCCTGATTCATGAAAGAGTCTGCAAGACATTCTTCAGGACAAGCAGATAGTGACTGCCTTTGAAATTTCCTGCTTCATGGAAATTTCTGCTGGAAACTATGGGCCTATAGGTCGAAGATGGATGCCCCAACAGTACAGAGGAACTTTGGGTGACTGTCCAGGCAGCAAAATGTCTCTGTCATTTCTAGAGTTTGAAAGTTGCTTATTTCTTGTTTGCTTAGGTAATATTGTATCTTTCTGGAGTCTTTGATGGAGTTAAAGAATAGTTAGTTATAGTTTTCCTTAGTTATGATAAAGATTATTGTAATTTTACTTGATAACTGTTTTGGTATATGTAATTTTGCTATGTAAAGTTAAAGCCTTCCTTTTTTGTTTAAACAGAAAAAGGGGAAGTGATGTGGGAGTATCATATATCAATCTGTTGATTTCATTGGTTAAGCAATGAAGAAACTGCTTGGCCCTGATAGGTTAAAACATAGCTAGAATAAGTAAACACAACAGGATGCTGGGAGGAAGAGGAAGTGAGCTCAGACTCGACAGCTCTGCTCTCTGAAGCAGAAACGCCATGCTCCCGTCTCCCGGGTAGACATGATAGCTCTGTTCTCTGAGGCACTCGCGATGAAGCTCCGACCCAGGATGGATGTAGGCTAGAATTTTCCTGGTAAGACTGACACTACACAGATTATTAGAGATAGGTTGAACGGGATTTGAGAATTAGCCTGTAAGGGCTAGATTTAATGGGCCAAGCAGTGTTTAAAAGAATACAGTGTCTGTGTAATTATTTTGGGGCATAAGCTAGCAGGCGGCCGGGGTGCTGGGGACGCAGCCCCCTCCGCTCCTTATTACTACAACTAGTCTATTCATTGGGGACCCAATAAAAACTGGAGTCTGGGCTCTGGTCAGTGAAAGCAGGTCGCTGGCTCAGCCGATCATAGTGAGCGGCTAGACTCAGTTCTTAGTCCCAGACTGGTGGCTGAAAGAAGGTCCTTCTGGGGATGACAGTTTCATCTCACAGAGACCTGCTTCTTCTTACCCTCAGTGGCAAGGGCTATGAAGTCTCCAGAGTGGGGACTTTCGGACAACACGATGAACACTGAACCCAAGATGGGGCAGCCTTGACTTTGAGTCTTGAGCACTCCAGCCCCACTTTCTGTAGGACCCCATTCCTGGGCCCTGTCTGCAGTGGGATTTAGGGGCCCCTTCCTCCAATCTCTTCACTCACCTCTAACACATTCTTCTTGCTGGATTTGTCTTTGGGGGCCCAATCGAGAGAGGCCCCCTTCAGTTCGACCGTGTACTCCGGGGTGGAGAGCTTGGAAGGATGCCTCTGTGGAGAAGGAAGGAATGGAGGAGGCAAAATTACAAGGGGCAACCACCCAGATGGGCTTGCTAAAATACGTGGACCGACACACCAGGCTCCTAGAGCATCTTTGTCCTAGGACCTGCCAGCCAGCAGAAAGGAAAAGAGGAAGGAGCCCAATCCCATTTTGTGAGCAGGTATGCCAGGCCCCAGCCTCCCAGCTCTCCAGACTGGAGCTGTCTATCACCAAGGACCCTGTTCTGCAGGCCCCAGTAGCTGGAGTGCTTTGTACTGTGGTGAACCTGCCAGCATTGTCCCTCTTTGCCACTATCCAGCTAC